AGGGGGGATTCGGACCACTTTTCAGTTGTGATGGGGTTGCCCCACGGGTCAACTCTTAGCCCATTTTTATCTGCCTTGATGTTGGACACACTGACGCGCCACATTCAAGGGGAGTTGCAATGTTGTATGTTATTTGCAGATGATATTATATTGATTGACGAGACGCTAGGCGGTGTTAGCACGAGATTGGAGGTTTGAAGAGTCTAAAGGTTTTAAGTTGAGTATGACCAAGATTGAGAACTTGCAGTACAAGTTCAGTGATGGGACCTATAGAAGACGTGGACGTGAGGCTTGATACACAAGTCTATCCCTAAGGGAGATAGTGTCAAGTACCATGGATCTATTATCCAAGGAAATAAAGATATTGATGAGGATGTTGCACGTAGTATTGGAGGCGCGTGGGTGAAATAGAGATTCACATCCGGTGTTCTATGTGATAAGAATGTGTCACCTAAATTTAAGGGTAAGTTTTACAGATTGGTTATTAGGCCGACCATGTTATATGGAGCAGAGTATTGGCTAGTCAAGAACTCTCATGTCTAGAAGATTGATAAGATTAGGATATTGAGATGGATGTGCGGGCATACTAAGATTGATAAGATTAAGAATGTAGATATTCAGGACATGGTAGGAGTAGCCTCGGTGGAGGACAAGATGCGGGAAGCGAGGTTTAGATGGTTTGTGCATGTGAAGAGGAGAAGCACAGATGCCTCAGCGAGGAGGTGTGAGAGGTTGACTTTGGTGGGTCTGAAGAGAGGTACATGTAGGCCAAAGAAGTACTAAAGAAAGGTAATTAGGCAGGATTTGACGTTGCTTCAGTTTATTGAGGACATGACCCTTGATAGGAAGGTGTGGATGTCGAGAATTAAGGTAGAAGGTTAGTGGATAGTCGAAACTGTTTCTTCCCGATACTAGTAGTATTAGTAGTTAATCTTGTATTTTGTTATTGTTAGATTTCTATTATTACATGTTGTGTCTTTCTTTTCTTCTTATCTTGTTGTTGTTACTGCTTGTTGCTACGGTTTTATTTCCATCTTTCCATGAGCCGGGGATCTATAGGAATCAACCTCTCTACCCTCAAGGTAGTGGTAAAGTCTGCGTACACACTACCCACCCCAGACCCCACATGTGGGATTATATTGGGTTTGTTGTTGTTTATGAGGATTCTTTTAAGCCTCCATGAAGTTAAAAGTGTATGTAACCATGGAGTTGTGACTGACACGCTGGCAAATGTGAAACCAGACACCGCCAAATTTGACATCATGATTCTTAACCATGATCTGCTGTCTGGCTCCTAATACGCGTCTGAACTAAACCTACTTTACCTATGTGTCTTAACTAAACCTATTTTACCTATTAGCGGTCTTAACTAAACCTACTTTACCTATGTGTCTTGTTTCCTGTGTTTTTTCCTACCTTTTCTTCCTTTTAATTTTTATTTGGGGTGGGACAGGAGAAGAGGAGGAGGGGGTGTATGAACAACATTCCTATATCAGCAGGCTACTTTCTTCACTGATTGTTTAGTGCTCTGTCAATTCTGCAGAATGCTTGGACAGGGGGATATATTGCAGGTACAAGTATTGGTAACCTTGCTGGAGATAGATGCTATATGACAGAGTAAACTGGTAAGTTATGCAGTAATTTGGAGATATTGAAGAGCCTGATAAGTTATGCAATAATTTGGAGATATTGAAGAGCCTGATAAAATTTTGAAATTAGTGATCCCTGGTTATGCCACCTTTTTTCTTTCAAAAGAAAAAGCAAGTGTATCGAAAGACTTCTGTGTAAGTTTTTAAAGTTGTGTTCTATACCGCAGTTATGCACAAAGCCTTTATGGAGCTAACAAATGTTCAAGAAGTCACTGAATCAGCTCAGACAGTGAATCTCTTTCGAGTGTGGTAAAAGTGAACGGGGAGAGAGGAAGCTGAACAAGAATTGTTTGTTACTGATAGCTGGAGCTCCCGTCTTACATCAATGGCTATCTATAGAACAAGTTAGGGACGAACTGGCTAAGCTAACATGTATATTGAAGAGGGGGAGAAGGGTAATATGAGTACTGGATGAATTGTATCACTAGTTTGGTGCAGCCTACTGATCAAATTACTCTGTTTACATTTCCATCATGGTGGCTGAATTGATTGCCACAATTAGAACATCGAGTTCAAATGTCAAGGGGTCTCTGCTATTCCGTTTGGTTTTATCAACTCTTATAACTTATGCGAAAAGCTAAAACAGGAACAGAAATAATATAATCCAGCTTTGTGTGTGCATTCCCGTGTGTGTTTTAAAAAACTTGGCATACTGCTGAAATTAGTCCATACATTTCTATCATTTGGCGGACAATAACGTGCAAGTTGTGAGATGATATTTGAATTGCATGGTTAACAAATCGTACGACAAATTGTGTCAAAAGGGGGTACAAAGATGTGGATATTTATGATTGTTTTCATCGGAAACTTACATTTTATACATAGAACCAGCCAACCAAAGGAATCCTAAGTTTAAACTACAAGGCAGTTATAAAAATTATGTTTCCAAGAAATGCCGCTGTGATTACACCCTATACTTGTTCTAATAAAATTATGGTTTCAAAATTGTTTCTTGGAGGATTTGCCACGGAGTTGGACATATGACATTGTCAAACAATTGGCATTAACAATTGAATTGTCCTATGCTGGTTGGCCTATGCAAGCTTATACTTGAGTGTGTCAAAATCTTTTCTTTTCATTTTACTCGGGTGCGTTTTTGTCTATTGTTTTTATATTATATAGGACACTTGCGGCTTTTCCAAAATGAGTAATCCAGTTCTATCATCCCACTTTGCTTCCACAATTTTCAGTTATGTGTCGCGTTTCTGGTTGAAAATTCTCCGAAGGTTGAAAACGGATTTGTATACAATAACAACAACAATAAATTCAATTTAATTTCACATTTTGGGTCCGGGAAGGATAGTGTACGGAAACCTTATTCCTATCTAGTGAAGATAGAGAAGTTGTTTCTGAAAGACTCTCGGCTCAGAAAAAGGTTAGAAGAAAGAAGACGAAGAAGAAAAAAGCGAACAAAAAAGAAAAAGAAGTAGTAGTACCAAACAGTAAAATACGATAACTGAAGTGAACGAAACAGCATGAAGTAATAAAGATTTAAGAATATGAAAATACAAGAGAGCTACTAATACCAGGGTCATATCTTCAATTAGTAGTGTACGCAAGATTTTTCATAAGCGGTGTCATAATTTGAAGAAATGAACAAATAAATAACTTATTGTAGTTGTAAGTGGTGTCATTTTCTGTATTTATCCCTAATATTTTATTTTTCTTATACAGATATTAAAAAAATTCACGAAGCAGTGTCCCGTGACACCGCAGAGATTAAGGTGTATACGCCCCTGTCTTCAGTAAGCTGAATCAGTATCATGTCCCGCCTAATCACCTCTCCCCAGTATTTGCAAGTTTGCCCTTTGCACCCTAATCAACCCTATTCAAACAAGACTCAAAAGTGAGTCTCTATTATTTTCGCAGAAACTGGCTTATTGAAAAAACAATGATCTATATATTATACTTTAATATTAGTGAATGTTAATTATCAGGTGGTAAATAAAATTCTTTAATTACCAAAAAAATGAATGTCAACTTTTGTATGCGATCCTTGGTAGCTAGCGATACGTTTTACAAACTAAGAAATCCATTATTGGTTGGCATTCAACATATGCACAACTGTATACAATCTGCATTGTGACTCTACGAACATTTCAATATTTTTTATACCCTCCTTGTCTCAAAACGTCATTGTGAACAATTCTTTCTGTAGCGAACGTTTTGTTTTTCGACATTGTTTTGAACTATAGAAAACTGTGGTATATAAAGGGTGTTTGGCTAAGCCTATAAGCTGGTCAAACTAGCTTATAAGTACTTTTTGGTTTATCTACGCGTTTGGTAAAGTGAAAAGTGTTTATAAGTCAAGTGCTTATAAGTCAAAAATAAGCCAAAAGCCATAAGTTGGTCATCTCCGGCTTGTGAATTTTTAGCTTATAAGTACTTTAAGTTTGACCAAGATTTTTATTATTTTATCCTTAAAATATTCTTTTTCAGAACAAAATTCCTAAATCGATACTCACTGCCTCAAGTATTTATCAACCTACCCCCCCCCCCCC